TGTCTGGTCCAGACTCGATTATTTACAGACCGCCGTCATATACCTGGAATATTGCTGAGTGCGGCGTTAAACATCAAACCAACCAACCAACTTCTGCTGTTGTCAATGAGAGCCATTGTAACAGTCTTGCAGAACGGACAAAAGGACCTTCTGCAGTATGAGTGAGTGAGTGAATATTGCTTAACGCCGCATCAGCAATTTTGCAGCTATTCGCGGCGAGAAATGTCTTTTTCATAATCAGATATCAACCAATAGAATAAAAGTGATGTTGAAAATCACTAAAATCTCAGTCTTCTGCAGTATGGAGTGGTCCTGTCGTGCTACCTTCAATTGTCTCATTTATTACATATATTTCAGTGTGAAAGACTGAGTTTTCCGAAGTTGTGAAAAGTGTTATTTTTTCTTATTGCAGTGAACATAGCACTTGATATTTCACTGCTGTAAAAATAACACTTTGAAAGAACTATTGTCATACAAGAGTTACCTTCCCTGAAATGTTCCCCCTTTATCGTGTGAGTCTGGCCCAAACACAAACTGTTGACATTCCTTTTACATTAGTTCCACATTGAAAAGGCAAAATAGTGACATTGATGGAGTTAATATCGCTTCATACCGTGTGTTATTCTCATGAAAATGTTTTGTTAAAAATTGTAAATTTATCATTTAACTCGTCAACCGAGACTCTTCATTTCGCAAAGCGCCATTTTGGTTACTTGACCAGAGTGTATTTTCATTGAAGGTTTTACATTTGTAATGAAATAATTTAATTTTCCTTCAGACAACTACACAAAAAGTATTTAATGAATAGCATATTTCAAGAAAAGGTATATAACTCGATGAGAGAAACATGATATTTCGCGCTTTCACTCGACACATGACATATCTTCTATAACTAACACTACGATAAGATATGTTCTGCAACCAAAGAGCATGTTACGGATGGCCTACCACATGGGTCCTGGGGTGTTTCTTTTAGATTTACCGATGTAACTGAGTTTTCGATGCCCTGACGTCCCAGTTACAATTGATGGCCCACCTTAAAAAAACACCTGTTCATCGTCGTATATAAAAAAAAGTTCAGTAACTTTCTTGGGAACTCTAATCTGCTATGCCATGATGTCGTGCTTGAATGCGAGAATGTCATAAACAATGGGCAACGTAATAAGTGATATCACTTTGTTCGAAGAATGTCCTGATAAATATTGATCTAAACTTCATAACATTTCGAGAATACAAATTGCGGGGAGAGTTACATGCCCCTTATGGAGGCAGACAGCGAACGGTCGTTGGAGAAATTTTATGTTAATTTCTGAATTTAATGTCGCTGTTCAGCCAAAATTGTTAAACGATTTATTTATGTTTAACAATGGGGACCGATTTGATGACTTTCCGGCGGAGAATCGGGTGTTATATTATGCCACGAGCTCAAGGTTGCAGACAGATCGACAAGGTGGAACGGTACACATGTCATACAAAATGGACGACAGGCATGGGATTTTGCTACAGGCTTTACATCGCTTTCCTGAGTTTTCTGGTGTTACTCTTTGGAACTGTATTTCCAATCACACTCTGCAAGTGTTAAAGCACAAGTATTGTCATAGATGCAATCTTCAAACCACCACCAACAGATAGTTTGTTTTGCTCATCTGCAAAAGTTTTCACATGCACATGCGACACGGAATGCACGGACATTTCTTCACTGTTTACATTTGATCCAACATGGCGGCTTGTAATGTCGGGCGACGTCGAAGTTAACCCTGGACCGGCAACGGCAGCTAATACTGCACAAGAAGGAAATGTAACACAAATAGAAGAACAAAGTGTAAGTGAATCCATGAAGTTACTTTCGTGCCAAATAGATATTTTGAATCGAACGATAAACACCATAAACGAAACTCTATCAACCCTCAAAACAACAATGGACAAAAACAACACTAATGTCAATTCAAAATAAGAAGCTGTCAAAAGAGTGAGTGAGTGAGTTAAAATTTTAAGTCACATCGGCAATATTTCAGCCATATCGTGACTATCAATGGTTAAATATAATAAATATATTGAAGCTTATATAAAAACCTGCCAACGAGGGACAGTAAAATAACTAGACTTATCACAGAAATAAAGTTAAAACTAGTATGTAATCATAAAATCAATAGCACGATACAAAACTTGACATTATAAAAACGGGCTATAGATCGCCAGCAACTAAAGGTAGATCACCATGCTAGGGTCAGCTGTCAAAAGAAGAAAACAACGAGATAAAGACGACAATTGACCAACGATCTGTGACGATTTCATCACTTGAAGACGAAGTCCAAGTGAAACTTTCTCTGGGGAAACACAACCTATATTTGGAATAGACATGGAGTGAGTGAATGAGTGAGTGAGTTGGGTTTAACGCCTCTTTTAACAGTATTCCAGTTATATCACGGCGTGTCAGCTTAATATGGGAGCAAAACTCGAAGTGATGCAGGTCTCGGACGTTTACCACTTCGGTGAAACCCACGAGCACCCGTATGGTGCTGATAAACCTAGAAACATAATCGGGACGAACCGGGAATCGAACCCTTAATCACAGGTTTCTGGCGTGCCCAAGGGACGCAACTCTGCACAGCGAGTCGCGGCGCTTTAGACGACTGGGCCACCTGTGCCCTCATTTTCGTTTCATACACCCCATTAATATGTATATGCATAATATCAGTCAATATGAGAGTAGTGGTAACTCTAAAAGTATTTGTAACTATTTGAAGTTTGGTCATGTAGCCTGAATGCAATAAAACATGTCTTGTCTCTTCTTCTTTCGGTTTATGAAAATTTCAGATGGCTTAGTTTTTAAATGCAAAGAAAAGACTGAAAGACATCGGTGATCAAATCTCCGTTAACACAATTTTTTTAACTCTAAGATAGCAGCACACACTCCCTTCCAGTTTACAATAATGCAGGAGTACCGCAACATACCGGAATGTTCATAGGTATACTGCTGGTTGGGATTATATGTATCTCCATGACATGATAATTATCGTATCAATGAATGCATCTATGACAGGAGTGAGTGAGTGAGTGAGTGAGTGAGTTGGGTTTAACGCCGCTTTGAACATTATTCCAGTTATATCACGGCGTGTCAGCTTAATGTGGGAGGAAAGCCCGAAGTGATGCAGGTCTTAGAGGTTTCTACTTCGGTGAAACCCACGAGCACCCGTATGGTGCTGACAAACCTAGAAACATATTCGGGGTGAACCGGGATTCGAACCCACAATCATAGGTTTCTGGCGTGTCCAGGGGACGCAACTCTGCACAGCGAATCGCGGCGCCTTAGACGACTGGGCCACCCGTGCAAAACTCGAAGTGATGCAGGTCTCGGACGTTTACCACTTCGTTGAAACCCACGAGCACCCGTATGGTGCTGATAAATCTAGAAACATAATCGGGACGAACCGGGAATCGAACCCTTAATCACAGGTTTCTGGCGTGCCCAAGGGACGCAACTCTGCACAGCGAGTCGCGGCGCTTTAGACGACTGGGCCACCTGTGCCCCCATTTTCGTTTCATACACCCCATTAATATGTATATGCATAATATCAGTCAATATGAGAGTAGTGGTAACTCTAAAAGTATTTGTAACTATTTGAAGTTTGGTCATGTAGCCTGAATGCAATAAAACATGTCTTGTCTCTTCTTCTTTCGGTTTATGAAAATTTCAGATGGCTTAGTTTTTAAATGCAAAGAAAAGACTGAAAGACATCGGTGATCAAATCTCCGTTAACACAATTTTTTTAACTCTAAGATAGCAGCACACACTCCCTTCCAGTTTACAATAATGCAGGAGTACCGCAACATACCGGAATGTTCATAGGTATACTGCTGGTTGGGATTATATGTATCTCCATGACATGATAATTATCGTATCAATGAATGCATCTATGACAGGAGTGAGTGAGTGAGTGAGTGAGTTGGGTTTAACGCCGCTTTGAACATTATTCCAGTTATATCACGGCGTGTCAGCTTAATGTGGGAGGAAAGCCCGAAGTGATGCAGGTCTTAGAGGTTTCTACTTCGGTGAAACCCACGAGCACCCGTATGGTGCTGACAAACCTAGAAACATAATCGGGGTGAACCGGGATTCGAACCCACAATCATAGGTTTCTGGCGTGTCCAGGGGACGCAACTCTGCACAGCGAATCGCGGCGCCTTAGACGACTGGGCCACCCGTGCCCCCCCCCCCCCCCCCCCCCACCCCCCATGACAGGAAATAATCTCTAGCAGGTACATGTAAGTGTATAATCAGCAAGTAAGTATGAACAATCATAGATCCAATAGATTTTCAAATATTTGAACAAGCACAACGAGGTCTCCTACCTGTTTCGACCTGATTGCGCTTTTATGATTTTATAGTTTCGAATGTTCACTGAGCAGTCAACACAGTCAATATTAACAACATAGTCCGGATGAGCCAATATGATTAACGGCGATTCAACTCGGTGACAGCATAAAGTGTTTGGCTTTATCGATTTCCTTTCCTTCAGCTATTCAGCATCATGTGTTTGCAACCGCTGACGGTTTAGGTGGAAGTCATGTCTACTTTCTATTTGGTCGGACTAAACACATTACTTCTTACAATGCTCTCTGGGAAGAGTTCAATTCAATACGATTTGTGCAACTACTGATATTTTATTTTGTTTTAATGATGATTATCATTAGATATTAGTTGAGAAACAGAAACAAACATTAATGGTCAATGAGACTCGTAGTGGTCACTGCCCCAAGGCGGTAATCTATCTAATATAATGGTCATTGTGACTTGCAGTGGTCACTGCCCCAGGGCCGTATCTTTCCAAAATATTGGCCATTGCGGCGTTATCCTCCCAGTGGACTCTCCCCTGAACCGCCAACAGTCAACTGATTCGTTCAAACTACATGCTACCTACATATTGATTAGAATCTATTTACATATGGTAAAGGAACCAGTCATGTTTGCCAGTTTAAGGATGGCTCAGCAGCTGATATAGAGCGGCACATGCATCCTATCACACAGTCGACACAGATTGACAGTTGAAGAAGTTTGTTCTAAATCCACCAGAATGGTTCTGTCTTTTCCCTGTCACGAGGTTGTTTTGTGCCTGTGCGCGGTGTTTGTGTCATCTGAGCGAATCAGTGGAACTTACTTCAAACGAAGAGAAGTTTTTATGAATAAGATAATTCAGACCGATGCACATTGCCGTGCGCGGGTTGGTAGTAGATTAGATTGTGGAACCTACTGTAACCAGTTCAGCAGATCAATCAGTTTCTTCTATAATAAGGTGAACCAGGATTGTGTCTGTCCACGAATCACTCCAGTCACCAGCGACCTTGTACCTGCACCGGGCTATGCTTTGTACAGCACGAAAGGTAAATCTGTCCTTTGGAATATCGTAAACTTTATTTGTCTCTATCAAAAACAAAATGAGAAATCAAGCTGTGGATGACAACAAAATGGAAGAGCCTCAAGTTATTAGCTGGGTGTGAATATATGTCAGAATAATACTGAAACATATCAAATTCATTATTATATTTTTGTTTTGTGAGCCCCTTTGGCCCATTTCATTTTCATGTCCAGTTATATTTTTTAAGAGAGCACCACACCGAACTGCCTCAATTTCTTTTGTGATCCTGAACCGTATGTTGGCTGCAATAATATTTTCTCTTTTTGAGAGACTGATGCACCTAGCTCAGCATGGTATATACCTCTGTCATATAGCCGGAATATTGCTGCATGCGGCGCTAAACAACAAACAAACATGGTATATTTTATTAATTTCATCTATCGTTATATGTTCATCTTTAGTCCATGAAATGGCTGTATTGCACAATGTTCGAACTCAGTTAATTTTCATAACAGGGGAAGGAGCAGAACCTGCAGTGGAATATGTTTAAAGTAACAGGTGTTTCACAATGAATGGGAATCAATATATTTTTCAAATTTGGTCAGGATTTGGTTGCATGCACTCCGTGTGTTTAGCACCTGTAGCTGTCTTGAGCCTCATTGCAAGAAGAGGTAACCATGTTGCTAGGGCACGATTTATCCCCATGTCCACTCTAATTGTAACGCCAAAGTAGATTTGTGAATAAATTTCCACGCTGATGTAGACATAAATATCTTTTATTGACTTGGGAATTGCTGAAAGTTCAAAAGCGAAGTGATAGTTTTAAAAATACTGCTATTTTGCTTTCTTGTATATCGCTCCAAAGAAGTAATTCATTCCTTGCTGAAATATTTTCAAGAACCAGTTTCACATCCTCCACCTACAGAAGGGTACAACCTGAGGCAAACGGGTTGCCCACCTTAGTATCCTCTTATGACTAGCTTGGGATGCTTGGGGCAATTTTTATCCTAGGTAGTACGAATGGAATGCAAATGGAGATGCTACTTCAAATGATAAAACCAAGATTGGCTCACACATTTTCTTCTTGTTGACCATTAAGATAAAATGGCAAGCCAGGGTACATGCTGACGACATATCATGTTCTACCTATCGCTCTTTAGTATGTGGGCTGGTAAAGTGAGAGTTCTGATTGTAGTCGACACAAAGCCTAATTACATAATGTCCATACAAATAAGGTGAATTGAAATGGGGTTTAATATAACGTTCATGATTATTGCACGTATATAATACGTGCATGTTCGTTAGACGATGATTCTTTAAATATTAACCCACATACTCATATGTACCTCAATATTGTATTTTTTGTTACTTGACAGGCTACCTTGAATTGGGCGTGTCAAATGTCACATGTGGTCAAACAAGGTAGGTTCTGACTGTTTTCCATAGAACGTTAGCCTATTTGGTACACTGCGAAGTTGTTCGCTAACATAATCAAAATAGTATATGAGTGCTGCACAGGCTAAACGTGGGATACCCTGATGATCTCAAAACCGTCTAGCATAGTGGCTGAATCGTTAACACATCACTTCGAAGGTTCAGATTCGATATGAGAAGACATACCTTGAATATTGCTTTAAATCCAACTCACTCACTCACTCACTATCTTCCCCCGTGGGGACCCGGGGAAGATAAGAATGTGTCATCAACTCACCATGGCTGGTCGTAAAAGGCGACCGAATTAGGCAACCTGTTTGGCGTGGGTTGCGCCCCTATGTCGGTGGAGGAAGGGATGCTGGTGGTTGAGGGCACTGGAGCCAGGAACAAGTGTTCCTTTTGCCTAACACAACTTCGACCCTTACTGCACCTAGACGGGTGGTAGAGTTGGCCCGATTGTATCAATCGGCTAGTCACGCCATGCCCTTTCCATGGAAATTTCATTTTCAAAACATGTTCATCATAACAATGCCTTTTCGTTATAAAACATTAATTTTGCCTAGAGTCCTATGCCAGAAGGCGGTGGCTCATGGGCCAATCTGGTTATATAGACCTCTGAATTGTGTGCTCTTAGGAACTGTGTCATGGGCCGAACCAGCCTGGCACTTCTTCTTTAAGATATCATGGCTTTTCATGTCTGCAGTTTCTGGAGTATGACACCTTTGTAGCCCTGGTGTTTCAGGCTGGCTTCGGCTGCAACATCGTCCTTGTTGACACTCGATGGCGGCTGGGGAGTAGGGTTGTTGAATTATTTTATTACACCATATCTGCACACACAATCTGGTTCATGAAAGAATAACAAACGTAGACACTTTGACTGCATTTCGTCTGACGATGAAGCTGCTAAATACTGTTTCTTGGCCTCGGGTTAGTCATTGCATCAGCCGATGGCAATCCATTAAACTTAAACCCATTTGCTATCTCCAAGGGCATTGTTGGTTACCGAGCCATGTTGGAATAACTGGAAACCCAATGGCTGATGCTGCAGCAAAGAGCAGCACTCAACAAATCTGTTTCACCACTTCTGATCCCATGCACTGATTATCAACCCGTGATTAGATCTTACATCTAATTCAAAAGAAGTGGAACACTCCTGTAGGTATAAATAAATTACATGAAATTAAACCAACTGTTGGCTCCACCTACTTGGGTTGTCAGTCCAGATTTGAAGAGGCCATAATACGACGATGTCGTATTGGCCACAGCAGGTATGACCCGTGAAGATTCCGGAGTAGAATAGGTCTTCAGCCACCAATGCTTGCCGTAAAAGGTGACTATGCTTGTCGTAAAAGGCGACTAACGGGATCGGGTGGTCAGGCTCGCTGACTTAGTTGATGCATGTCTTGGATCCCAATTGCGTGGATCGATGCTCATGATGTCAATCACTGGATTGTCTGGTTCAGATTCGATTATTTACAGACCGCCGTCATATAGCTGGAATATTGCTGAGTGCGGCGTTAAACAACAAACTAACCATAGCAGGTATACACATGATTATTTATTGAAAGGTGAGGATCCTCCATTTTTTATCCCTTGTGATGAAAGAATCGCGGTCAAGCATGTCCTGTTTGACTGTGTTGATTTTCCATCACAAGGGATAAATATTTCAAATCATCATCAATAAAGGATCTTTTTGATAGTATTAATTGGTTTTTATTGTTATTCGAAGTAATCGAAGTGATTGATAAGTTTTGAATTGTGTAGATAGCTATGTTTTATATTGGTAATGTATACTTTGTAATTTAGATTGTTAGTGGCTGTATCCTCAAAGGGGGTTGAAGTAGCGTAAAATAATTGTCTCCCCTGAGAGGATATGTAAAACCACATCATTCAAAGTACATTTATTCATACTTAAGTTTTAAACGTAGTATTTTAGTTTCAACTTTTGGCTTTATTGTGTGCCATCACCAGCAGCTGAAGGGATGGTGTAAATCCTGCTGGGGAACCGTGCAGGTAGCTGAAGTATTGTATGTCCAAACGGTCTCTTGTGAGGTGGTTGCTGGTGATCTGTAGTCCATTATTATACTGTATTGTTAAATGAAAGTTTATTCTTTTAAATGTTCTAAACTAGTTTTAAAATCGAAACTGTGGTACTCTAGTTATTATACTGTCCATCGTTAACAGGTTTTTATTTAATTTAGATATAATTATTATAACTGTTTCGTCACGATATGGCTCATATTCGCCGATGTGACGTTAAATTGCTCTCACTCACTATCTATAGTTATCTATAACGCTGAAAAAAGGGAGTATGCTGCCCATGTCATTATCACGTCATAGATATGTATAAAGTATTAGGGTGCATGGAAGAAAACAACAGATATTCTCCCCATCTGACACTAAATTGTTATTTCAGCCTGGCAGTTATCAACAACTACAACTGAATCTTTAACGAATGTGTAAAGCCAACAAGAATTAAGATATATACCAACTAATTATCTATCTTTTAATCTTGTACACATGGGACGTTATCGAACTGAGACCAGTGATTGTGTATTTTAACTTTAGTGTTTATTATTTGCATGCACTGAATAATACTATTGTATCCTATATATTAGGATGGAGACTACACTCGTGAATGAAGGACAATTAAGTTACGCCGTAATGGTCTGACCCCACTTCGCTGGGCAAACTGACGTCTTCTTGCTAACATTGTTCTTTCATAACTGTCAAGCAAGAAGGAGCATCCATATCAGTTATTGGTCGGTGAAAGGTTTATTTTGACTTGTCACATAGCTGAATGGGAAGAAATATGGCAAGATTATGTTAACGATCTCTCATGCTGCGGGTTTTCCCCAAACATCTTCAAACCACTGTGTCCGTACTATGGTAGCTGCAGCGTTGTCTGAGATGCAAAATCCTTGCAGAGTTGCATAACCATTAGCACACCTGTTGCTGCGTGTAGGGTATTTAGCAACATACTGCGGTCAAACAATACCACCACAGCTCTTCCTTGGCCCTCGTTGGTCTTCTGGCGGTACCAACTCTAGTGGTGTTGGAGAGTCCGCCCGGAGAGCGGAAGGTCCGGGGTTCGATTATGGCAGGCATAGTCGCCTTTAACAGCAAGAATGGATTGCTGTAGACCTATTCTACCCTGGATCTTCACGGGTCCCGGCCGTTGTGGTAGTTCGGCCCTGCAATGCATTTGCGGAATGTTTCGAGTCACGTGATTAAACTGAAGCAAATTATTATACAAAGTTATATATGAATCCTTGTTGCTGCTTTGGATTTAAGATAATCACAGATTGAACGGAATATAAAATGTGACTGCGTTAAACCATAAACTAATAATATAGTTATGTTTTATTATGTTAAAATATACTTTGTCTCTAAAAGTCGGGGAACAAAGAGCCCGTCAGTTGGACCTGTCCGAGGGTTTTCAATTTAAGCCACTGCTTATCCCATTTTTATCAAACTCGAATAAAACACAATATTATTCTGAAATTCGGCATCTTAGAAAAGTAATAAGTTTGCTCTTTCCGTATGTCTAGTGTAATAAAGTATAGTTTTGCCCTGAACTATTATAACCCAAGCGTCGTCATGCTTCAACTATAATAGTTCAGCACAAAACTATACCTTATTACACTATAATGGGGGTAAGGCAAATTGTATTATATAAATACAAGGCAGGTTATCGAAATGGACCAGCAACATTGTTTCTAACGTCAATGTTATTCATTTTCCCCTGCAACTTGGGATGAAGACTCAATCGTGAATGACATGTTTCTTACGTTCCAGTGGCATCCTGATGGTTTCAGCCCCAAATTGGTTCAGTTATGATACAAATCCTCAGGACATAACTGTAAGTAATATGCCATGCATCTTCAGTAGGTATTCAATGCACTAGTGTCAGGAGTCAAGATTTCTTTGATGTCTGTGCTAAGATGAGAAAAGATCACATCATATACATATTTATAATGTGTGTTATCACGCGAGTGTGTTTGAGGATGGTCAATATGCTGTAATTGGATTAGGATTAAAACATTGTTTTTAACGAGCCTTGGCGAGCTTAATACATTGTCTTGTTTCCTGATACAATCCCGACCCGTGAAGATTCCGGGGTAGAATTGGTCTTCAGCAACCCATGCTTGCCGTAAAAGGCGACTAACAGGATCGGGTGGTCAGGCTAGCTGACTTGGTTGATGCATGTCATCGATCACAATTGCGTGGATCGATGCTCATGATATTAATCACTGGATTGTCTGGTCCATACTCGATTATTTACAGACCGCCGTCATATAGCTGGAATATTGCTGAGTGCGGCGTAAAACAACCAACCAACTACTTACCATCCCAAAATACACAGGCGTGATAACCTCTTTATCATATCATGGCATTCTTCCATTTTGTGAGGGGCGGTCGGGTAGCCTAGTGGTTGAAGCGTTCGCTCGTCACGCTGAGGACCCCGGTTCGATTCCCGACATGGGTACAATGTGTGAAGCCCATTTCTGGTGTCCCCCGACGTGATGTTGCTGGAATATTGCTAAAAGCGGCGTAAAACCATACTCACTCACTCCATTTTGTGATCCATTTCTCTGCCCATCTCTCGCAACCATTACCTAAACATTGGAAGTTTAGGGAAAATGGAAAATCAACACGCTTGGCAAGTGTTCTCGTTAAACTGTCAAGCAATTTATATCTCCAAAGTTGCCAAAACTTGCAATATATATATTGAAGATTGTAAATAATGGAGAATGGAGTCTGAAAAAGACAACCCAGTGATTGACACCTTGAGCATCGATCTACGCAAATGGGATACGATGACATTCCTCAAGCAAGTAAGCGAGTCTGACCACCGGATTCCGTTTGTTACCTCTAATGACAATCATGGGTTCCCGAAGATCAATTCTTACCTGTATCATATATATATGTATATATTATATCTGTACAATGCTTAAAACATTATCAGGTTTGTGATAAACATCACATCTTACTAATCCCGAAACATTGCTTTGCTTTTGAAGTTTTATCTCGGTCGCCGACTCTACATTGATGAGATTCGCATCCCCCCTAAAACAGTCAAGAGCTCATTGAAGATTATTTGGTTCTACAGTTCAAGCGATACAGAAGTTTGGGTTGCTGGGGATCCAGAGATCGTGACAAATGGAAACTTTTTCATTCCAGATGTTAAGGTATTTTTTCACATAAGTCATATAAATAATAGTTTGTAAAATACGCAGCCAGACGGGGGAGGGTTGGTGGTGTAAATACGGGAACAACTGATTGTTTTCCATTTTTTTTCTGGAACTAAGTCATTTCTCAAACAAATGATCGGACACCAACCTCCAAGTCAAACCCCATGGAATGACTTGCAAATTATCTATTCACATCTGTAAGTCATCATCACTAGGACTATGTGTTGTTTCTTCAGTATGTGCATTGTTATAGACAAACTTTGGACTAGAAAGCCAATATATATCTCATCTAAAAGTAATTGAGTAATTAACTTATTGTATTGAAACATACATGATCAGGATTACAATCATAAAAGGCAATACATTTGGTTGGTTTGTTGTTTAACGCCGCACTCAGCAATATTCCAGCTATATGACGGCGGTCTGTAAATAATCGAGTATGGACCAGACAATCCAGTGATTAAAATCATGAGCATCGATCCATGTACTCGGGATCGATGACATGTTCAACCAAGTCAGCAAGCCTGACCACCCGATCCCGTTAGTCGCCTTTTACGACAAGCATAGTCACCTTTTACGGCAAGCATAGGTTGCTGAAGACCTATTCTACCCCGGAGTCTTCACGGGTCAAAGGCAATACAACTGAGGGTCAAATAAGTTGCAGCAACAATGTAGAATAGGTCCTTTTACATCGGTCAGTGCAATCACGAATGTCCAGAATTTGTCACAGTCGAATGTATATTCAACAACACAAGTTCCTGTGACACCAATATTTTAGTGTATTTTTCAAACATGTAACGGTTGGTTTTCAATATTGTAGTACATGTATGGAATCAAGTCACAAAAACGCAACTGCTACAGAAAAGGTACCCACTACCCAAGAATGGGTATAAAAACATGTGCGTTAACGGGATTCCATATGCATTGTTTAGCATCGTGCTGACAACAACCACTCAGAAAAACAACAAAATAATGCAATTATTCAACATTACGAAATGAGCGTCTCTGAACCTTTGGTATGCTTGAGGCAGGAACAAGTCAACGTGATGTTGCAAGACAATTTAACGTCCACAGAAACACCATTTGGTGTTTATGGCAACGTTGGCAACAGACGAATGCAGTCAGAGACCATCCTCGGAGTGGCAGGCCACGCATAACCAATAGTCGACAAGACAACTGGATTCGAACAACACACCTATGAAATCGATTCCAGCCAGCAACAGTGACTGCAAGAAGCATCCCTGGCCTTCGACGAATATCCTCAGAAACCGTACGTCGCCGCCTCAGATGTGCAGGGATTGTCGCCAGAAGACCCGCCAGAGGTCCCATTTTGACAAGAAACCACCGTCAAGCACGTCTACAGTGGTGCAGACAGCGTCTACGCTGGACGGCCATGCAGTGGGGACAAGTTCTATACACTGACGAGTCTCGTTTTCACCTCAGCCACAGCGATGGACGGATTCGAGTGTACCGACGTCGAGGTGAACGTTACGTCAATCATTGTGTCATGGAAGAAGATCGGTTTTGGGGCGGCAGCGTTATGGTATGGAGTGAGATTACATCAAGACAGAGGACCCGTTTGATAGTGGTAAAGAGAAATCTCAATGGACAGCGCTACAACGTGTTCCACACACACTCCAGGAACTTCGAAACATGCTCCAGCAGATATGGACAGATATCCCACGGAACTTTGTGCGACGCCTGGTCCATTCCATGAGACGAAGATGTGTTGCTTGCATCGCAACGAGAGGCTGGTTGGTTGGTTGGTTGTTTAACGCCGCACTCAGCAATATTCCAGCTATATGACGGCGGTCTGTAAATATTTTAGTCTGGACCAGACAATCCAGTGATTAATATCATGAGCATCGATCCACGCAATTGGGATCAACCAAGCCAGCGAGCCTGACCACCCGATCCCGTTAGTCGCCTTTTACGACAAGCATAGTCACCTTTTACGGCAGGCATGGGTTGCTGAAGACCTATTCCACCCCGGATCTTCACGGGTCGCAACGAGAGGTGGACACACACGCTATTGATTTGTAAAGTGACATTTTGGCATGTTCATGTTATTTTATGAAATCACGCTTTTTCTGAAGTCAGTATGGCAAATTGAACCATTTGAACACTTACAGGAGTCTTTTATCCGTTCCAAACCGAAACCGTTTCAGATTTGGTAAAAAACATAACTTTGCATTAAATCTTATTCAATGTCACAGGAACTTTTGTTGTTCAACATATTATATGAAGCAGTGTCCTTTCTTGGATCAAGAAAGCAGTGTCAGAAGCAGGCAATGCGTCGATGTCATCCGATTATTATTCTGTCCTCACTGGACTTGTTGATATGATGCAAGTCCGTTGGGAGAAGACAATCCCCGTTCCAAAGTTATATCGCCTTATTGAAACGGTTGCCTTGTGAAGTATCTCGAAACGACAACAATAAATAAAAACGACAAAACCCTTTATGCAAAGATCTCAATATGAAACAGATGAGCCGGTCTCACTTGTCTCCTACATTTCTAGTTCATGTGGGTACAGCGGTGGAAAGGAATTTGCTATTTGAAGGTTATTGAACGATATCAGATTGTTCCCGTGTATTTTTAGGTGAACAATTAAGCTCCTCACAGTCCTTTAGGAAATGCTACCTGGAAGTTTAGAGAATAATGTAGTTTTTTCTCGAAGTTGATAACAGTAAACTTAGCTGAACATAGCAGAGCTCTCTATTATACCGGGAGGGTAACGAGGGCCGGGACGGAATTTGGATTGTAATCACTAAGGGAGGTCACTCAATTTTACGACCTGCTATGTGCATGCCACTTAATAATTTTTTTTAGCCACAGCAGCTAACGACATTACATGAGTGTTTGCTGTTCTGTATAACGATTCATGAACAACCTTAGAAGACGCTCCTACCTTTTCATTACCTGTCGTCAGAATGCCTGAGCTGGCACCGCTGATCAGGGTCGCTGTAGTTTGTTTGAACACAGAAGAAAACCAAATAGTGTGAATATGACCATTTAACAGCAATCGCTTCACGTTACAGGAATATCTTGTCCTAAACATTGAATTAACTATGTTTTTATCCAGAAGCTGTCCGACATTGTCACCAGCGTGAGCCTAAAATTCCATGGAACCACAGCAGGATTTGTGGAAAGACAGGACTTCCTGATCCTTGCCCACGAATAGAGTTCACTTGCATTACTCGCCGCCTTTTTGGAAGAGACATTGTATTTGTTTTAAATGTCTCAAATGCAAGGTCAACATAAAAAACAGGAGTATGAGGACCCAAGACAATGCTGCTGATGCACGATCATATTTGAATGTATGGCCAAACTGACCATTGCATTCCCTCGACATTTGTTGTAGGACCGCCTCCGTGGTCTAATTGTAGAGTGTCCGCCTGGAGAGCGGAAGGTCCGGGGTTCGATCCCAAGCCGCGTCATACTAAAAGACGTTAAAAGACGGTACTTGTTGTTACCCTGTCTGGCGATCGGCATTAAGGGGCTAAAACAAGGACTGGTCGGCTCGGAGTCAGTATATTGTGTCTGAGTGTAAAACCTGGCATTTGTTCAACGACTTTGATGCATTAAGGAGCGACCCTGCAGTATGTTTAGTAAAATGATTTGTAAAAGAAAAGCATAATTATATTTGTCGTGTGGCACGTAACTAACGTTTTAATGAACATGGATGGAGTTTACATATTGCAAACTGTACAACAGTGGACACGTGTAGTAAGACCACTCAGCAGGTTTTACAATTGCTCCCCAGGTTTTACAATTGCAATTGCAATTGTAAAACCTTGGGAGCAATTGTAAAACCTGTCGTGAATTTCATCAATTAACTTTGAGTAAGGAAAATATCGTCATCGTCAGACATCCTCTCTTGTGAACAGTCAACGACACAATGCCATGTGGTACGACGCACGCGGTTCTTTCTGCACGTACAGCCCTCTTCTGCACGTGCAGTCCGCGCAGCGGCCCGCGATAACAACTGTTATAAAGCGTGTCTCGTTATACCGCGCTTATTTGCGACCCGTATACCGCGTAAGTATAAGCTCCCAAAATGACATAGTTTAATGGATAGCGGTTTATAAGTTGGACAAACCATTCCACCTCAGGAATGGTATGATTGTATAACCGGGTAGGCACCCTGTGCCTACCCGGTTATACAATCATACCATTCCTTCGGTGTCATGGTTTCTCCATTACATATCATGTGCCCACCATTAGCATGGCACATCCTGTAGTCTGACAATTTACCAAATGAGAAGACGGATCACACATTGAGAAATGTTATTCCACTTGGTCTTAAGCGCGTGTGAAAGCTGCGATCCAACTCTTCCCATTGGTGGTTTATTTTTTTTAAATCTATCGAGATAGTGGGCAAAGGAAGGAACTGTGTGTTGTAGTGCCACAGGAATGCTATATATACACGTCGTGTGAGCTGTATATCATTGTCATGTTGAAAGATTTTGCTAGTATGGTTCTTAGTGAGAATAACTTGCGGCTATTGGATTTAAAAAAAATAGCGTTGGACAGTTATGTTACCTCCATTTAATTATGCTGCAACTGCTAAATAAATCCGTGTACGTGGCACCGAAACGTCTCTGGTAAATGGTAATCCCAGACTCTCCCGTCAGCTCAGCGCTGCATTGACTCGTTGGCTAGGTTATATTCTGCGTGTTTGACACCACTGACGTCGCAGATTGATGATGATGATGATGATGATGATGATGATGATGATGACGTTGCGTCAAAACCACGTCTCTGTCAGGACGTCCTGCTGCCTCGCGAATGCGCTTCTGCACTATCCGGACAATCATCCTTCACAATCGTGGAATTACTGCTGTTCATGTGTTTTGATTATTCCATCAAAACTTTTTTTAATCTGCTTTGTTAATCATAAGCTTTACATATCTTTTATGGGCTAATGTATGTTATAGTATGTATAGCAATGTCACCAATACGTTTCTGTTTATGGAGGAGTACATGCACATAACCTTTGATGCTTGACGTTTAATCTTTTGATATGCTACATTGAAATAAATTGGTTGTTGACACCTGCCTACCTATTTATGAATGAAAATTAAATGGTATTAGGTTAATGAGGTATTATATATATTTATCATATATATTATATATATTTTTAAATACAGATATCAAAGCAATGTTGTATCGAAATATATTATGTGCTGATGTTCTTTGAATGATGGCCATGGTTATACCATGAAGATCCGATTTTGATTCATTGTGGTCTAACCTATACTTAACTGTCATCTTAAAGACTGGAGCGGGTGATATGTCCGGTCGTTGCGGTGTCATGTTTCCACTGAAGAGTCGCAAACGATATACAAAACAAACTTCGGGACAACTTTCCGTATACAGGTAGGTTGAGGGCTGGGGGCAAACCTCGAGTCTACTCTCCATTTATATTAAATTTTAATTCCCTTAACCTCCAATGCAAGTTTCAGACATTTTGGCGTCATTTTGTGTAAAGAGGAGTATCATCAATTAACATATTTTTGTATGACGCGGCAGTGGGATAGAACACCGCTCATTGTGACGCAAAAACTATGACATCTCAATATGCTGTTGAAAAAAGTGTCAACTCTCAAGGTCCATTAAACTTGCATACATTCTTTGTCGTTTTTAAAACCTCTGATTGACCATTATTGAAAACATTCTGCAACATGTTTAACGGATATGGTCTTTCACGCCTGGCTGCTGGGTTATCTGACGCAGATTCTTTTCACTCATGAAACAAGAAAGTTATTGGAGACTTGCCCTGATGCGGCACTAGGCCAATCTTTGAGACATTTTGGACAGACGGTGAATGTTGTTTTCCTATAATGTGTGAAATAAATTTAAAAAATAATTTAAAAAAAGAGGCAGTGAGAAACGTAAAAAATAAATAAAACAAACAACCCCTCCCACCTTCTGTACCCCTCAAGTTGTATTGTAATAATTATTGTTTGACATGTTTACTTGAGAAAATATGAACGAAATGGTGCTTATATCTAAATGACACGTTTATCTAATTCATAAAATGCATAACACATTGATGAATAAAATAACTTGCTGAGATACCATGTCGCAGTTTACCATAGATACCTTACTCGGTCACAGTAATACTGACTCCATGAAGACCAGTCCTTGTTTTATCCCCGTAATGCCGAGCGCCAGGCAGGGTTACAACAAGTACCACATGTTGAGGTCATGATCAGTGATCGAACTAACGACCTTCTCTCTCTGCAGAGACGCTCTATTCACTACATCGGGTCTACATATTTAATAACACCATGACTAATAGTTTCTCCGGTTATGAAAAGGTATATTTCTTATTTATTCAATATGTCCGTCTATGCATGTTAAAAAATACATGTTTGATAGCTTTTTGTGAAAATTACTTTTATCTTGATCACGCTAGGTTTGGTAATAATAGGCCTATTTTAACTGTACTTCATTTCACTCAAGACTACAAAACTCAACATGCTGAGGGTCAACAGAGATCAATATTGTCTTGTTAATCCGACAATCGGCTTTATCCGACACTAATGATGGGAGCCAATGAAATCAGTGCTATTAAGACCCGTTAATCCTACAGTCTCGCATTCCGACTCCGACACATCTAACTTGCAACGAATAACCGAAATCACTCATTAATCAGTCTCGTTAATCCGACACAGTGATCAGCGTACCCCGTGGTCATCTGCCCGTGAGTGCACAGCCCGTATTTTGATGCGAGACGAGTCAGCTGGTAGCTGCGTATTACAACAGCTGCAGAGATATACTTGCTTAACAATAAACAATTAATGATTTAATCAAGCATGCTTAGATTACCTCATTCTCATTCAAATCAGATACAAGTACTCGCTATCGCCGAGGACATCCCATTACAGGTCACGTCAGAACAATCTTTCTTGAACTATGACCGACCAATGAAATGGCTAACAGAAAGTCAGCGTTAGCCACTAACAAAGCAGCTTTCTTAAGTTTTGTGGTACCAGTTTCAAACTGCCGACTTCCATTCCAGACTATGCTTTTTAAAGTATTTTGAATAAGTCACACAGTCCGTAACAGTAGTTTTGTGCTACGCTTTTGAGGTTGCATGATTGGAAAACATATTCCGCTAACAGTGTTACACAACAATATGAATATTTCATTTTTTTCTTTTTTTATTACGTGTTTGTACCGTTACCTATTGTTGTCCGATTTTCGATCACGTACGTTGATACTTCTTAATTTCGTTTGTCAGACATACTCGTTAATCCGACATAATCATATGCAACCAACCATGCCGGATTAACGGGACTTGACTGTATACACAAACATGGCAGCATTATGTACAATAATAACTTAAAAACATTCATAACACATTTACAGTGAGTGAGTTGTGTTTTAAAGCCGCTCTGTACAGTATATCTGTTACATCACGGCATGTTAGCTTAATGTGGGAGGAAAGCCCGAAGTGATGCCTCTGAGTTACTATTACATGATGAAATGTAACTGCAATACGTTCGTATTTCCGTTGGAGTGAGGTATTCAATGTGTCATATAAACAGGTTATGAATAGCTAATTTTATCATCTAACTAAATACATTATCTTAACGAAATGGATCATATTTCCATTAACTGTATATGCACGAAAATTAGGTGAGATATATATTAATCAATATAACAATGTCGTTTTTATGCGATGTTGCCAAAGACATAAAAGAAGCCATGACGTCAAACAAACAAAATCAAATTGTATGATTTAATAGACGATTCATAGAAGATTATCGATTTTCTTCGTCCATGGCAAACTATTTTTCGTATCGAATGTATAACGTTATACATAAGCATATATATCCATTTGATGTATATTTCTGGCGTTCAGATATTAGGCAATATTTTATTCGCTCAAAATATCCTAACATTGTCAAGCAACACATTTTGTCGCACAGTACTTTTTCTGTGTACGATAGAAATTGGCGAAATTTGCTGTTTTGTAACGTATAACAAAATCCAGGAAACACTTTCAAATCATAGATAGATTGACATATTTAGCTTCCTCTCTGTGAAACACTTTTTGAAATCCCTGTATGTATAGTGTAAAATCCAATCATTGCCGAGGGGCGGTCGGGTAGCCTAGTGGTTAAAGCGTTCGCTCGTCAAGCCAAAGACCCGGGTTCGATTCCCGACATGGGTACAATGTGTGAAGCTATTTCTGGTGTCCCCCGCCGTGATATTGCTGGAATATTGCTAAAAGCGGCGTAAAACCATTCTCATTCACTCACCCATTGCAGTTGCAGCATATGATGTCAGTTTATGTGATGAAAATGATTGAAGCGGACATATAATACATCAGTTAACATGTTGTTACTGGTGTACAGGAATGTTGTTGCTCTATTCCCATATG